TGTGATTTGGAGACGCATGAATGAAGGAGAAGAAGACGTGATCAATGAAGGAGAAGAAGACGTGGAAACGTGAAAATAAACATGGTTAATTAAATTAAAATAAAAATTATAAAAATTACTTAATTACATTACTGCGCTTATTAAATTATTTATATATAATAAAAGTTAATTTATTAATTAAAAAAGTTTGTGGTTATTGAGTTGTTCTCGCGTTTTTGTAAATCACAGGGGTTCTCGTTTGAACCTCCACCTATATATATATATATATATATATATATATATTAGAAAAACCTTAGGGCGTTGAGGTGACACCATAAAAAATTAAGTATTCTCAAATGATGAATTGTGGTTGAGTTTTACTAGTCCCACATTGGTGAATAGTTGAAAGATTTGAATACAATGAAGTGTATAAAAAATGTGGATTGGATGTTTTTATGTCAATTAATGGAGTTTACCTCATGGTGTTGTTTTATTCTGGATAAACATCTTTGAATCTATAACCATAGTTGGAACCAAAACCAACCAAATGGTAAAAATTATAATGCAAAATTAAAAGTTGTTAAACTCAGTTTCAATCGGATAACAATGAGTTAAACAATAAGAACAACAATGTAGAGTTCAAATCATCATGTATATTGACTAAACATACAAGTCAAATTACAATTGAGCACAACGTTGACTTTTGCTGACTTTAGGTTTTGATCTCTTTAATCATTAAGCTCGGTGATCTTGGATACAATAATATTTGACCTAACAAAAGTGTAGTGTGTGGCGCTATAAATATAAATATGATCCCGAGTTTTCAAACACATCGCACTTTCGCTCGGGTCGAGACTTTTACATTTTTTTTTAAATTGAGTTTTCGAACACTGGTACACTTTAAAATATATAAATGGATCAATAAAATACACTTAAAAGAATCGTTTTGCTATAATTTGTTAAAAAAATAAATAAAATACGAGCCGAATCATGAATTATAGTGAGAATTGTGAATGTTTTTTTTGCAATTGTAAGTTGGTATCTTCCTCTATACACCATATGACTTATATATTGTATATAGAGGGTCAATGGGACAAAAATGGTCAAAAAATGATATAAAAAAACAGTCATATGGCCGTTCCAACGGCTATAAAAAAACGTAATATTTTTTGAAAATCGGGTCGGTCCGGGCCATAAGCGGTTCCAAACTGGTCCTGGTGAGATTTTTTTTTTATCAAACTACGTATCCTTTAACAGATTTATTAATAGTCTCATTCGAATTTAACAATTGAATTTAGGTGTATTCTTTCCTCGAGTTTGACTAAAAAATACTCAAGTTTTTTATCAGACAAAAGTTTACAATCCTTTAAGATAAATAAAGTATAGAATGATGAAAATCAAGGTCTTTTAGGTTATTTATTTATTTATTTTATTAAGTTTTATTTATATAACGTAGCATATTTTAAAGATAGAAATTTGAGAGATAAAGAACGAGAACTGAGTTCCAACCAATAAAAATTGGTTTTACGAATATTGTATCGTTTGGATTCAAAAAAAATATTTTGAGTAATTTTTGTACAATTTTCGGAGATCTTTCACATATCTATATTTATTTTTTATAAATAGAGTATTATTTTGAGAAAAATAGGTAATGAATAAGAAATAATAATTCGTTTTGAACAATAGATATCTTTCACATCCAACTATAACAATGAGTAACGTCTTGATTCATTAGAACCATATAAACCGACACCCAGAACTCCCATTAAGAGAAAAATGAACCTCCCGCCGTGTATAAAATAAAATTTGTGGCTGAGTACAAACATTTCTTTCCTCCCCACATAGATAGAAGTAGATAAATCAGAATTAATTCTAATTCCCACATAAAAAAAAAGTAAAAGGTCCTGAGAAGAAAAGGATCCGATTTGACCACTGTACATTACCAACATCAAGAAATGGAATAATCGAGAATCCCGAGTAACATGCCAGGTCATTAAAGTAGCTAAAGTAGTGATAAATCATGTTAATAAAAAGGGTCCTATAGACGGTCCATCTATTCATAGTTCTCTACTACTTTAGTTTATAATAAGTACCAAAAAGAATTTAAAAGATAACAATAACCTAAATTTTATTAATTAGTTATATTGAAGAATAAATGTAAAAGGGTAACTATCATTCGTCATATGCTATTGTTTCTTGTATCTCTAAGGATTTTTGTGGTACTAATGTTCAATGCTATTGATTATTGTACTTTTGTTGTTTGATGATTAATCAATAAATTTTCCTTATTAATTGCATTCAATGAATATGTCTTTTAATTCAAATATTTTATTTTTGTAGAGCAAGAAAAAAAGGAAAAGGAAATTAAATATTTTCATCTTCATTGGGTTCCACTACCCAAATTAAGATCTTATTTAAGTGTTCAACCAACTATTCATTGAGCTTGCATATTATATGTCTCATTCATTATTTGTTTTTATTGGATCTTAACGAATATCTTTTTTTTAAATCTTCATTCGTTTTCTTGTACAAAAAACTCTGAGAATCTTTTCTATTCTTCATCTTTCATTAACTTTCTATAGGTTACTTCATCCACTTGAGTTTTCTTTTTATAGCAAAATAAAGTTATGAACTAAGAAAAGTTTTACCTTTTAAAAATTTACCAGCCATAATAGATGGCCGATGACAGAAAATACATATGCCATAAAAGTGAGCACTATGTCACCACAATGGAAGCACAGGTGCACACTAGTCACTATGCTCACCCTCAAATAATATAATGATATAGTATCAAGATCGTATCCACAATTCAACAACCTGCAAAACAAATAACATACAACAATATATAACCAACCATATTGGGGATACAAATTGGGTCACATTCTACAAAACTATACAACTGTTTGAAATCTACTACAAATTATTGCTAAAAACATTCTTACAAAAAAGATTCATATAGCAAAATATCAGAGGTAAACTTCAAATACTCCTCGACAGGCTTCACATATAAGCATCCAATTAGACGGTG